CTCCCATGTGATGCTTCTTCAGCTGGGACTAGGTTGTGCCTTTTTTTTTTAGTTAGAATTGTTGCAAAGGTACTACCTGAATAGTGATACTGTGCAAGATGACATGAAATTGTTATAAGTAGATGCGCAAAAGAGCACTCAACTCAAAAAAAAAGAAGCAAAAGAGCACTCAAGTCTGCGTTCACTAAAAAAGAGCAGAAGAAAGGGTCCCAGATGATGTTGTCATCTATAAGATTTTAAATGCAAAACATCCGCCAAATTTTAAATGCAAAAAAACTGAAACTAGAATCAAAGTGTTTTCCCTTCTACAGTTATACCCCACATGGAAAACAGGTTCCGTGTAAAAATGCAGTAACAGTAACAGCTCGGTCTCTCTCTAGTGAGCAGCTCATCACCTCGTATACAATTTTCTACTGTAAGTATTTGGCAAGACTGTCGACCAACATTCAGAGTTGCAAAGGCGTCTGAGCGTACGCTGTAACAAAGGTGCGGCCGAAGCAGAGCAAAGCAGAGGAAGCAGAGCACCCCCTGATTTTCCTTTAGGAGAGCTACAGTAACAAAATTTGTTGCTATTAAAATCCAAGCCACATGGCATACATTTAGTCACTATCTCAAATACAAATAAGGACTGTGATATTTGGCACATGTGTGCCATATAAGCAAAACTGCCACACCTCTACTTCTTTTACTTCAAAGTACCACACGATCCCCCTTCCTTCAACCCCATCTTCTTCCGAGTGACCCTGCAGGCTCGTCTAAGAAATCTGCTTCTCCCGCACATCTCACGCGCTCACCCTCGAGAAAACTATCACTTTTTCACGTCTATCACATGATAAAAAAAATTGCACAAGTGGGATTTGAACCCACACCTCCTTGGCACCAAAGCACGCCACCACAACCAACTCACTCTTAGGTATTTGTTGCTCAAACTAAAGAAACTAATCGTTTTGATCCTTTTTTTTACAGTTGTGTTACTACAAAAAAGTACAGGAAATTACCATGATTTTCCCTCAAGACAAAGTTACCATGATATTCGCATGCAATTTATCAGGCCTGTGTTGCGTCAATTACCGTGCTATTTACATAGAACTTACCAGGTACTATGTTTCAACAACACCCCTTTCAAAGTTATCACTGTGTTTTGTACACAAGTTATAAGGTCTTCGATGTGTAAAATACCGTGGTACTTACACATAAGTTATCAGGGTATGTGTACATGAACCTCGTCCTTGGTCAAAGTTACCATGGGGGATTGTACATGAGTTACGAGTCTACAGTTCGTATATTATCATGGTACTTACACCTAAAAATCTGGGTGTGTTCCGGTAACTTTTTTCATAGGTCAAAAATTACCATGATGTTTTTGCGTAACTTATCACGCCTATAGTAGGTCAAAGTGGGCCGTTTTTTGGGCCAACCCACGAGCACGTGTGCCTCTCATGACACCAAACATTATGTGGTTTTTCCGTGGCACATCATGTGTTGTGTTCATCTAAGGCCCTGCGAGGCGAGTGTATGTTTTTAACAACTTGTTTTCCTTTGGTAAAAAGTTACCATCATGTTTATATAATTATATTGTAAGTTATCGGTTATGCGGTGCTTATATTATCATGTTATTCACACCAAAAAAATCGGGGATGTTTTGAACAACTTTTTCCCGGGACAAAAGGTTATCATGGTGATTCTAGGTAACCTATCAAGCCCGCAGTGTTTAAAATATCATGCTATTTACACAAAAATTTATCAGGGGTATGTTTCAGCAAAATTTCCCCCCATCGTCAAAAACTTATCATGGTGTTTAGTTATCGCGGTGCATATGTTTTCATGCTATTTACACATAAAAATACCAGGGAAGGGAGGTATAGTACCGTGCTATTTACACAGAAGATACCGGAGTATCTTTTCAAAAAAAAAGCTTCCCTATGGTCAAAGTTACCATGGTGTTTCTACCTCAGTTATCAGATGTGCATTGCGTATATTACCAACTATTTACACATAAATTATCTGGTATCTTTTGATATTTTTCTTCCCCAATGGTTAAAGTTACCACGATGTTTGTATCTAAATTATCAGGTCTATGGCGTGAATGTTGTCGTGCTATTTACAGAAATTACCGAAGGCCGGGGTTCAACAAATTTCTTCCCAATGATCAAAGTTACCACGATGCTTTCATCAAAGTTATCACGCCTTCAATGCTTATGACCATGCTACTTACACATAATGTACCGCGTGGTATACAAAAGTTATCATGTTGGTGGAGCATCATTTATCGTGGTGGTGATGGAGAATTTACCACGGGAAAAGTTTATGTGCCAGGTTTGATAGGTGAAACATAAGTTTTTCAGTGCTAAAATATTAAAGGCAAAACATGTCAAAACAATATTTTCCTTAGCTTGTTCAACAATGAGTGTCATAGGTGAGGTGGTTAGCTCCCTTTGTTGATTACCTGTAGACCAGAGTTCAAATCCCAATTCAAGCATTATTTTTGCCCAAAAATTTGGAAGGCGCGTGAAAAGGAAGGAAATCAGAAGGGCGGGAAAGGAAAGGAGATCAGGAGGAAAGGAAGGAGATCGTGAGGACATGCGGGAAAGGAATGAGATCGCGAGTACGTGCGGGAAAGGAAGGAGATCGCGAGGGCGGCCGGAACGGACGGTGCTGGATGCGTGTGGCAATTTTGCAATCTGCCACACGGTTGCCACTTACAATTGTCGTACAAATAATTATTGTTTGACAACAGTTACAACAAACATCTATTACCCCCTTCCTGAATTATTTGTCTTAGATTTCTTTAGACACTGATGTATTTAGACACATTCCGTATCTAGAGAAATTTAAGACAAATAATTTGAGCAGATGGAGTACGATTCTGCATCTATGCTCTCATTTCCATCATCTCACTGTCTGATTTTCAACCTCAATCTTGTTGATTCTCCTCCCTAGACCAACGTATTTCATAGCATGATCTTGAATTGCCTCTTTTTTCCTTGCCTTCCCATTCATTGGCAACTCATTTCATTCACAAGCTTTGAACAATCCAACGACCTAAGAAAGCTCCTCCAGGTGCCGGCTTCATAAGATCACTTTAGTTTAGATTCTGGACAAAAGTTCTTTTGAATTATGAAAAATTGCACTAGTACAAAAACAAGCATTAATGGCGGGCCTCGAAAACGGTTGTGACCAAACATAACAAAGCCGCCTGTAATACCCACACCAAAGTGGTTATTTTTTTCATATAAAAAGCTCTGACGACGGTTGGAAATCTGAAACCGCATGCAGGAAAGATTGGAGGCGGTGTGTAGTGCGAAACCACCTCTAGTTTAGAGGCGGTTTCAATGAGTACCTAGGGGGCACAGTGGCACACCCTTTTTCCTTCTCTTTGTGTACCACATATTCATTTTCCTTTCCGTCCCTGATGCCAGGCCAAACCCTAGCACCACCGCCGCAATGTTCACCTCAGCGAGGACGCCGACTCTTGAACATTTCTTCACATGTGACTGTCGACGACCTAGTTTCCGTCAAAAGGTGGAGGTGCAGTGGCATATCAGCCCATTCGTGGCGGTGTAGTGACAGACTGTCCCATCCGAGATGGCGCGGTGGCATATCGGCTCATCCTCAGCGGTTCGGTGGCAGATCCAATCTGGCTATGCTATCGACCCAGTGATGGAGTTAAATCCAGCAAATCTCGGGTACGGGGTCCCGATCTGATAGCCTTGGAACGATGGTAATATGAACAAGGGGACATGATATTTTACCCAGGTTCAAGCCCTCTCGAAGAGTTAAAACCCTACGTCTTACTTTTGTTGTATTGATTGGGAAGTAACGAGTACATGGTTGATCTACCTTGAGATCGTGTGTCTCTAAGTTGTCCTATATACGGCCTAACCCCAACGGCTTATATAGATACCGGGGTACCTAGGGTTATAATGGTCGGTTGCTATAAGAGGAAAATGTTGCACATCGACATGGTCGCCGACCTGGAGACCGGTCTGCAGTGGGCGCGAGACGACTACGTCCGGGATGAAATGGAGCGCTAGCGCCGTGCCCTCAAGGAGATTGCCGCTCGGCGCCGCGGCCGGGACGAGGACGGTGTCGTCATCCTCGATGACAGCGGCGACGAGGCGCTGGCGCCGTCCAACCCCGTCCGCCTCGGCACCCCAGGACAGGGCTTCAGCAAGGACGGAGGCGTCCAAGACGGCGATGACGGCGACGACTACACTGCCTTCTACCGCCTCCTCGGCATGCAGTAGGCTCGGGGTGGCGTCGGCGGCGTAGTTTTTTTTAGCTTTTTAATTATGTCTTTTAAATTTGTACAAATTAATGAAAACTGCCTGAATTTGGTCCTAGTTTGTGTTATTTTCGTCAAAATTTAGCCGAATTTTAATTTCAAATAACGGCTTCTGGGGCGAACTTGGGGGGGTCGGCTTTTACTATGTGTATTCGTTCCTAGT